AAACAGGTAAAAGCAATCTAGAATCCATTATATCAGACATACATTATACATTATATTTTCCCATACAAATGAGTATTGTGAAATATAACCATTGATCTATGGTTGTCTTTTTCTTCTCTTATTTTCATTTCAAACCAGTCATGATTTTAGAAGCCATAACAGTGGTCTTCCTGCTCCGATTAGCACAATCACTGACCATTGATAAGGTTGACAGAGGTGTTGAGTTTACACAGGTAGACTGTAGAGAAACCTGTCAAGTGAACGACAGCGTTGTTCTCTCGGTTCGCTCCCTGCTAGATTGTGCATCAACGTGTCAGACAGACGGACAATGTGAGATCTTTTCCTACCGGCAAAAGAATCGTAGTTGCACCATACAAGAAGGAAGATGCTGCGAGGGTTGGTGGATATACCTACTGAAAGGTACGTGAGAATATGATTAAAAGATTAACACCCCTCCCCCCCAAAAGAAAGTTTTAAAAAAAAAATCAATGCAATCTGCGTGATTCATGTGATTCATTAAGCAAGTTTATTAAATGAATGATATTTACTAATTCATGAGAATGTTTATGAATATTGGAATATAAAACAGCTTCCAAAATGCAATTTCAAAGCAGTTGTTATAATTGCATACTAGTATTTTTGGTATTTCTTTTAAAGGATTTAGTGTTGGTCGTAAAGAATTATATATCAAAACCCCAGAGAAGCAGTATATTGAACCTTTTCTTGATCTGACTCGTCACGGACTATCGGCAAAAACTGGGCGTGTCACATTTAAAATGAGGACATGCAACATTGACAATAGTGTACCACACCTGTGATTGTCCAAACTGTCGCCCGATATTGAAACTCCTTATTTCCAACTGATATTTAGATCGGGAACTGTTCAACTAAGGAAAAGGAAAGCGAAAGAGTTAATGTTGGTTTCCAGAGATAACGTGTTCAGTTGTAAAGAATTCTTTCCCTTCTGGTGCAAATGGACCAATACCGCGATAGAAGTCGGCCAGGGGCATGACTTTTCCGAGGAAAGTATGTTTATGCTGTGGGAAAGGGAAACAAATTTTACAATTAACCTTATTAGTGTCGCAACCTGGGATATTGGTACCGAATTCATTTTCTTTTATTAATGAAATGAGAGATAGAGCAAGTTTTCTTACTTGTCAAATAGTATCATTTTTCTCGACAGTGGATTAGCAAAATTCAGTTTCTGGAGTGATAATCTTTCGGTTCCATGCAAATTACCACTGCTCCAAAAACTGTAACATCCTCAGAGACAAATCCATCTTTACAGAAAACGCCATCTGCAAATGGAATACTATATGATAAATATTTGAAGATCCTCAAAAGATGCCAACCAAGAGCATGATTTCTAAAAATACAGCAGATGCCATAAACTTTAAGACTCTTTCACTTCTCAAAAAATTTCCTCTCATTAAAATATTTTCATGGATTCTGACGACAATTAAAATTTCATGCAGTTATACATCGTTTTGAAGAATAAAATTCATTTAAAATTCTCTCTTGGAGCATTTGCATTTTGGAAGATTGTAATGATGGGGAAATAAACTTGATTGTCATGAACGAAGAAACATCACAGACATTGAAATATATGCATAGGCAAATTCCATTTTCTGTGCATTTGTTATCATAGGGTTTTGCAATTTAAGAAATTCAAAACTATCTATAACAATTTTTATACACTTGTGTATATGTATTATACCAACTATATACATGTAATATGTTGAATTCTCAAAAAATAAACCCCCTTTTGAGGTTTTGGTCACTACAAGAAAAACCAACAGTCTACGATGATTCTTGGAAATCTGAACCAGTTTACAACTGGATGGACTGTAACAAGCATGAATGATTCTTTACTCCTGGGAATGTCTGAACCAGTTTACAGCTGGGTGTACTGTAACAGACATAAATAATTCTTTATTCGTGAGAAAGTCTGAACCAGTTTACAGCTGCATGGACTGTAACAAGCATGATAATTCTTTATTCCTGGGAAAGTCTGAACCAGTTTACAGCTGCATGGATTGTAACAAGTATGGATGATTCCTTATTCTTGGGAAAGTCTGAACCAGTTTACAGCTGCATGGACTGTTACAAGCATGCATGATTCTTTATTCCTGGGAAAGTCTGAACCAGTTTACAGCTGCATGGACTGTAACAAGCATGAATGATTCTTTGATCCAAAGATATATATTATATGAGTACTTATTCAGTTCTCCATCTTTGGACCGCCACAGATTTATTTACCGAGCCCTAGACGACCCAAATTCTTTAATGAAATTTACAACCGTTCCGTCATTTTATGAATATGATTGATTTTTTTTGGTTAGACTGCACTTAAACTTTATCAGTCTTATCATATGATATAAAAAGGCAAATGGAAAAGTTCAGTAGTTGTTCAATATTTCATCCATAGTTAGCATATTTGTAAGTAATTTTAAACATTGCCTATATTTTAAGGAGTTTGGATCCTGCTTTCGAAAGTCTCAGGATTTTTTTGTAAAGTATATCTTTCGTATCTACATATATAGCTTAATTTCAAAACAGCAAAAAATAGGAGTCAATACGCTTCTTTTGACGCTACGGTACATTTAATATGTCCATATTGCACTGAAGTTGAAATTTTTCCTCCAATATCTTTTTATTCAAATAAATAAAGGTACCAAAAATTTACTCTTATTATATCTTGAAATGACATACATAGTATCAAAAATTGTAAAAATTAAGAAAATTTTGAAATTACTTATATTACGTATAATCAATTATTTGACCTATTTGAAATTACGTCGCAAAATCAATTATTTGACCTTTCTGCACTAAGAAAATATCATTCTTCTGGCATTAAAAATATAACAAGCAAGAAAATTATTTTTTAAAAAGTCTTAAACGTTTACTTAATTTAGGCAGAATGATCAAAGTTATCTTATATATTCAGAAAATAATCAAAAGTGGGGTCTATGATTTTTTTTTTTTTTTTTACTGAAAAAGTGTTAGTTTTAAGTTAAATTGGCCCTATTTTTCTCTGATTTTCAGAATATATTTGCTATATATTTGTCATAGTGTGATGATAGAATTCATAAAAGGTAATTTTATAAATATGTTAGGACCAGCATAAAACATTTCACTGTACAAAATAACTCCAAGTGCAGCCTGCATTGAAAAATAGGAATCCAAACTTAACAGTACTGTAAATACTTCGATAGAGAAAAATTGATCATTTTCTTCTAAAAAGAAAACTTCCGCCACAAAAACTAGTTCCTTGCTTAATGCTTTTTATTTGGAATTTAATTATGGGTTTTTAATTGAATATAGTTTAATTTGTATTGTAAAATCCATACTTGATGTAAGAATTAAAATATGATGCAGAATTCTAGAAATAAATTTCCAGACAAAAATCTGCTCAAACCTACTTAACTAAGGCAACATTTCCTTTTATTAAGAGATTCAGAGTACTAAATTATTTTACCGTTGCATTGATAATTATACACATTTTGAATTTAATTTTGAAAAGATCTACCGAACGATAAAATTGACAACCAAGAACCCTCTATACACGGCACACTGAGAGTTCTGATCTGCTCTTAGATCTAAAACTAAATAAATTGAAATCTAAAGTTTATTACTCAAATTGTAATCAATTCAAGCAATCTAAACATGTCATTTGGACTAGATGAATTAATTGAACACTTTATTAATAGTACTTTTCCCATTTAAATAATAGTAAGCAACAGTGATTTCGTTCACTATAACACTTCATTGTCTCTGAACATTTTTCTTCAGGATAAATGGCAGGTACCCTATGCCGAAAATGAAATAGATAAACTCGATATTTACATCTTTACATGATATAACTTCGTCAGAGTCCAAAAACATTTTTCATTGGTGTTTACAGAGGGTCCAAAATACAATGAAGAGTTCCAGTACCATGGTACTTTTATGCAGTTACATGTACCTGCTCTTTGATTAATTTAAAATTGTATGTGTAATATATACAGTATATACATGATATATATATATATATATATATATATATATATATATATATATATATATATATATATATATATATATATATATATATATTATAATAATAATAAAGTATTTCAAGGATTCTGGAAATAACGTTATTCAGTGAACATGACGTTATGAATAGCAATTGCTCTGCTGGCATTTCCATGATGCGCGCTAACATGTTCACTGAATAATCGTTGTTTGTTACTTATATTTGCATTCTTTTGTGTCAAGAACATCAGAGGAAATCTATACAATTCAAATTTTACACAAAATCAACCACTCTCTACCATCGGCTCATACATTTACCTCTGTCGTTGGCTCGCGCATCTCACAGTGATAAACACCAGAAATAGTGCGTTTATTTTATCATAATTAAATACCTGCGCTAATGTTTGTTCTTTAAGGTTGATATATACTAAAATACATCGAAAACTATTAGTTGAATTTCAAATAATACCATGTTTTTGCTTGATGTCAAAAATCTCGATGCGAGCCCATTGCAGAGGTGTCTGAGAGAGTAATGAACGACAACTTTGCACGGGAGATTTAACCTTACCTTAAAACCGAATGAGTATTGTTTCTTTGAATTGCAGCCATTTCAAAGAGTGTTGTTGTGTAATGATTCTTAAACTATATTCAGTTACATTGTATAAATATTACAGCAAATATTCACTGTGTGATGTCAAATAAACTCTGAGAGTTTTTTTGCTTTTTTTTATTGCATTCTGCCATCCCATGATAGTGCAACGACATTGGAACTTAATGAATCTGGTGTCAAGACTTTACTCAGAGAAAATGCTTACAATGTTAAGTAAAAAAAAATTAAATTATTGTAACTTTAAGATTGTTCAAAAATAACCTTCAAAAATTGTATAGCATATAAAGGCTTCAAGAAATCATATTGGGAATTCTCTGATTTCATGGATAAATGGTTACCTTTTAAAACCTGATATATGTATAAATGCAAAAGTGAAGGAATTTAAATTGCATTTACTGGTTACACATTTATAAAACTTCAAAAAAGTAAGGTGTAAAATATACAATTTAAAGAGATGATAATCCCCATCTACACTTACTACCAAGGATCTTTCACAAGTACATGTATGTTGTACTTCTAGGACATTAGTTTTTATAATAAGCATAATACATTCATTAAAAGAATGGTTTTTTAGTATTGTACAAAAATGTAAAAATGTCAAACTTCACAATAATGGTTTAAACATATATATAAAATGATGGAATAAAAAAAAAGATTTGTTTCACAAAAATACAAATCTGAAGTTGCATACATGTATTAGTTATGTCTCTGTAAGTACCAGAACAGGTCTTGTTGCATTTATACTAGGGCTGTGTATTGTGCAAAATATTTCAATACAATATTTTATAAAGCGATATGCAATATATTGGATTCTTTAACAAGTCTATCAAAAAAGTCTCAAAAAAGTCTGGTAAATCATTTAATGCATACTTTTGATAAAAACTGGGTGTTTTATTACCAAATTGGAAGTTCATGTCTAACTGTCTTTTTAAAGTACACTTCAAATTCAAACTTTTAATGGCTGTAAAACTAACATGTTAAAATATAGTTGTCTATGTAATTTGTAATAGTTATTTAAGATGTGCAATCTCCTTCATGATTATTTCATTATTGACCAGTTTTAATTAAAAACAGTTAAAAATAATCTTTGGTGACTGAAATTCCCAACTTTTTCACAGAATTATGAGAAAAACTGCCAGTCCGATACGTATTGGAAGTTATTTTTTTGATACGATACATTCCTGAATACCGATACGTATTGAATAATCGATATATTGACACAGCCCTAATTTATACATTGCATATTTCAAATACATAGAAAAAACCTTGAAATAAATAATGGATTTGCAAGGGAAATAAATGACATTGCCAACATATGTTCCATATTTCCTTACCAGTATAAAAAATTCAAGAGTACACATGTCTAAAACATAAATAAATAAATAAACTATTAAAAATGGTTCTAAGACGACAATGTTAATACATGTAAAAGTTCTTGGACTGACAAACAATATTTCACCTTTGCACAATAATCATTATCTTAATATTATAAACACAGCTGACCAATTTGCCACTAACAAAATACTAAATCAGTGAGATTACATTTCTAAACAATAACTTCATGAATCAACCACAAGTAAGAAAAACTCTTCTCTATATTCTTGCTTCTAGTTTTCAGAGTTTTTTATTCTTAAAATTACAGCTTGGTTCTCTTTCTTTTAATTTTTTAAGAATAACCTACAACTACAAGTAATGAAATATAATGAATACTGCTGCATTAATTTGTGTAGCTTGAGGCCCATTTTAAGTGTTAGTACAGCAATCTCTTTATGGATATCAGGTACTGTAAACCAACTATTATTTGCAACACCTTTTATTTGCTATCCCACAGTTTGAAATCAATCTGCAACAACTACTTTTCATGACTGAGAAAACACTAAACATAAAGATATAAGTAAATCTTTGGTTTGCATCGAGAAATATTCACAAATACATTGCGAAATTCATTGTTATTTCTCGCATACGTACAATGTTGGTTTACAGTAATTAACTGACATATCACTTTGTAAAGTGAAGAAATGAGTTCTAGTAAGATGGATTTTTCATAATGCCCAGCAGTTTGTATGCAAGCACATAAAAAAGTACTGATGATGACAACCTTAAAATTATGAATTTAGATAACAATAGAGCAGAAAGCTTGTTTCTCTCATGGAAAATGCCCAAGTTCATTCATATAAGTAAGATAACAAATATGGAAGAGATTCTTTAAATTATTCTCAGAATTCCTCCCTGATGTAAAAGTCAGTCCTCGCTAGAGGTTGAAGAGGTCATGACCCCATGGAGCTGATCGATTACACTGTTAGAGAGGTCCTGGATTTTTGTCAGTTGATGAGTGAATTTGACTTGGTCGATAACAGACTCAATGCTGTGGTCAGTGAAAGCCCTCAGGAAAAATATATCTAAAATAAAAATAAGTGATTGTATCATTGTCGAGTTTCATTTCGTACTATGTCACCTATGTAAACACTAGATAGTGCATCTATCATGCTAGGTGTGAATTGATGAAGTGACTGAAGTGATATTGTATCATGATTAGAAGAAATAATTATTGTTCATTATGAACAGCTGGGACCAATATAGCCATCGGATTAAGAATAAACAGTATCCAGAATACACATAATTTTTTTATACTGCATTTGTTGAAGAAATCATGGGACAAAATTCCTGAGTACTCAGAATCCAGATTAGACAATAGAAATATGACAAAAAGTGTAATAGAAAATCTTCTTTTTTTTACTTAATAGAGCTGATTTTTAATTTAAAAAAAAAAAGATTTTTATGTGAATCAATCTTAAATGCCTGTTAATAAGTAACAATTATGGGCAGTGTATTAACTTTACCTACCTTTAAGTAGCATATTTAGAGTCCACAGAGCCACATGTACAAAGCTTGGATCAGGAGATTTTAGGAACTTATCAATGTAAAGAACAATGCCCTTCTTATTAGCCTCTTTTAGCTCAGTTGGTAAACCTACAAGTACAACATATCTTCATTCAGCTCTCAATGAATAGGTTTCAGTGAACATAGAGTCATATGCAGGGCTCGAGATAATCAATGGCCCGCTGGTCTGGGGACAGTGAATTTTTAATCTGGGCTAGTACATTGTAGAGGGCATGTGCCCTTTGGGTCAGTGTTTTTTTTTATGCATAAAAAAATTCATTCACGGTCGGGCTAGTTAACTTGACATCATTGTACATCCAAGTTCTCCCATTTCTTGTTATGTTAAGTTGTACTATATAAACAAAATATTACTGTTATTTTCATGGTTTTGGGCCAGTCTTTTAAAACTCTACTGGCCCAGTGGGACAGTGAAAGTACCGAGTTGACCAGTAAAAATTTCAGGTGATGGCCCAAGTGACCAGTGAAAAAAAAAAAATTATTTCTAGCCCTGATATGATCTTCACAATTTATATTTTGTCTTTAATGCTGTTTGTTGTTATACATGTATATTATAAACATTGTACGTCATTACACAGTTTTTTAAATAAGTCAACATCTAGGGCCAGTAACTCTGGCTGAATCACAAAATCTTTGCACTCACTGACTAATGCCAGTTGTCCCAGCGTGCCGGCGCTGTTGTACTGTATTTCTCTGTGACTAGACAGTGAGGCCAGGGTGACCAGTTTACTAAACGCTTTACCACCCTGTAGATGTATCAGCTTGTACTTTACATCATCTGAAATCAATGAGAGATGTTTTTCTTCAGTACTTTCTCAAAAAATTGTGAACAGTATCCCAGATCATTTTATGTTACAGAAATCATGCAGTAAAATATTTTACGTACCGGTATACTTTAGTATAATCTAAAATTGTATATTTTTTGTTGAAATTTATATTATTTTTCTTACAAATGACAATACATTAAAAACAAAAAAATGATATTTTTATATCAAAAATATAAGAAAAATACATGTAATATTATAATCATATTGTTTAATACATGTATGACATATTATCAGATCACTGTGACTGCTTGGAAATTTCTGTCACTGTATTTTCTTTGTCTCTCTCTAAGGGTCCATAATTCTAACATTGTATTTTCTTGTTGTCTTTGATAACAATATGATATACAGTAAAACTTGTTTAGTACGAACACTGATATAGCAAAGTTTTCCGGGGTCCCTGACAAAATTCTTAACAATTCTTTGTAAAACCTCAGTTATCCAAGGTATGTTGTGTAATAATTGCTTCCCTAACATATTGGGTGGTAATACTCGAGGAAAAACGTGTATATTGCAAATTCGCTATACGTACTTATACGAATTCGTTATAGGATATAACGAATTATGGATATAGCAAATTAAATTCTCAGGTCCCCAGGACTTCGCTATAACCAACCTTTACTGTATTACCTTCATCAGCCATGACCGCTAGAGCTGCTGTGACCTCTGACAGGACAGGTATCCTTGACTCCAGATCCAGAAGGACAAAGGTCAAGGCCTCTACACAGTCATTCTCTATCAAGGTCTATAAACAAAGTGTCAGCATAAACAACATTATCATTCTTCCAAGTTAAACCTGACTTCAAAAACTTTTATCATTTACAGTTATTGTGGTTCAAAGTGTATTATGTTGTATTGTTATAATATCCTCACATATGCCTACTGATTGACAGTGTTAGATGATAAAAACTTTGCTTATAAATTATATGAATTAGCCTGAGCTTTTCTAGCAAATACAGTAAAATCATATTTTTCAGGGGGTCAAATTTTTGAGGTTTGAGGAAAAATATGGATTTGTTGGGATTTGAATTCGTGGAAGAAGAATTCTTGAGTAGTTCTATATATGGAATTTTACATTGTGGGGTAGACATGAATTTGTGGGTCTCTTCATATCTCAAAAACAATGAAAAATTACCCCCCCCCCCCCCCGGTTTATGCAGGAGTGTGAGCACTTTTAAATTTAAAGCAATTTATTACTTACATAAATACATTGACTGACAGTAACACACTTTTTATTTTTACATTACTTCATCAGTAAATTACTTACGCGTACATATTCACTGACAGCTAGATTGCGTAGAGTTCCTGCTATGTGTTTTTGGGCCTCTGGGTTAGAACTATCACAGACAACATGACAAAGATCTGGTACCAAGTTTTCATGTATGAAGGCTGCCTATAAAAGAAACATCATCAGTAAAAATATTTATTGACCTGTAAAACAAGATCTTCTTGATGTTATATAATCATAATAATAAAACAGCTAAGCAGTTTGGTCATTTATATCTCGGCAGCAGAACTGCAAAATTTTACAAAGTAATCTCATTTTTATTGAAATAAATGCATAACCAAATTCTAAATTTTATTCTTTACAATTCAGACAATTTTCTGTATTTGAAAACACATTTTTTCTGTGGTTAATCATATACATGTATCGCCTTCATCTTTAATGCCCAGTATATATGATACCATTGATTATGAAGTGCATTTAATCATTTATTGGAAAGAGTTATGTATCTTTGTTTTGATCTTACTTCATTGAGTTTGTGTATAGAGAGATTCCTTAGACAAGCAGCAGCTGCAGCCAGTGTGTCAGACCGACAGGAAGTTAGAATGTGATGTAATGGGGGCAGGGCACCATTCTCCACTGCCAACAACTGGTTCTCATCTGGAAAAAAAAAAGACCAACGATAGATGATACCTGGTTTTTAATATGGAACTGTTTATATAACTTCGTAATTTGTTTTGTTTCCAAATTAATTTGATAAACAATTACACCGGAAGAACATGACTGACTCTACAAATTAATAATAAATTCAACATCTTCCTACCATCTGATGCCAAATTCCTTAGAGCAAAACATGCCTGACATTTTACCTGTAAGCCAAACAAAAAAAATTATGCATATTAAATGCATTTGTACATGTTGTATATGTATTGAATTTGTTTATATAACCATGTAAAATAAAATTGTAGTATACAGGGGATAACTCCATTCATAGGTCTTTACCTTTTTATTGTGACAATTAACGTATGAATTCTTTTCATATTCACATGCAGTAATTCATTTCAAGTAATGCATTTAAATTTATACATACAGGAGGCCTAATCTGATGATTCTGTTCTATCACAGTACACTAACCCTGTCTTTCTTTGAAGATAAAAGTCTGATGAGTTGTCTGATCACATCAAAATGTCCAACAGCAATCATCATGGCCCTGTGTTTTTGATTGACAGCAATGTTACTGAGTGCAGCTGCACTATAGTACTGAATATCATAATCTGACATATGGATCAGCTCAACCAGTGTCGGAATGGCTCCATGATTCACTAATTCATTCCTGTTGGACTCTGAAAAGGGGGAGGAAAATACCCTGAGAAGCTGTGTAAAGTGTTATCCTCCTCTCATTCTATTTTTTTCTCTCTCTTGATAATGGTACTTATGATACAGAATGCTCTCTCACTAATTCCTATTTTTTACAGATTTAGTTGCACCTGGCAGTGAAATCCATCCTGAGTCATAGTTGAATTATTCTTACTAGGTAGGTATACAGGTAGATACTGAATTGTGTGCATACTATGAACACAGAAACCAACGAGTAATAAAATTCAACAAAAGACATTTTGAGCAATAGTGATGTATAATAATCGGACAGCATGCATTTGTATATCAAGATATGTCAGTCAAGAAAATGCCATATTGACCATTATATTGACATTCAAATTTCTAATATAACCTTTGCATGATCAAATGCATTATAGTATAATTATTATTATACAATTATTGCTGTTTTTTCGGTCAATACAGTGATTTAGCCACCTTCAAAGTACAATATTCACTGAGCCCGAAGGGTGAGGTGAATATTGTACTTTGAAGGTGGCTAAATCATTGTATTGACCAAAAAAAAACAGCAATAATTCTTTTATTTTATAATTCAATGATTAATTTATAAAATGACACACAGTTATTAAGCAATCCATGCCATCTTATATGTTCACATCTACTGAAGTACTAGCCAAACATATAATAAGAGAAACGAGGTTTAAAAAAACAGTTGTATTATTTGGGAATTTTTAATTCTAGTTTAGGTGCAATATAGAAAAAATAAATGTCAGGAACATATATAGGATTGATTTTAAAAAAGGGGGCATTAAAAGAAAAAAAAAAATGACAACTTACCTGAAAACAAATCTTTGACCAGCCCCCCCCCCCCCCCAAAAAAAAAAAGGAAAAGAATTCCCCTAACTCAAAATTTTATTTGGTGGGATGTAAAGGTCCATAAACGAGGGGAGGGGGGTTTTCATTGAAATTTTTTATCCTTAAAATTCAAATTAAATTTAACAATTCTCAAAAGGTGGGGAGAGGGGCATGCCTCCTGCAACCCCCCACCCTTCACCCAAAAATCTGTGTGCCTTAATGTTATGTTAATATGAGTGGAAGTCAGGTGCAAGTGAAATAACTTTCCAAAACTATTTGCATCAATTTTGAATTTCCCTATCTATTTTTGGTCCAATGTAGAATAAATAATTCCTTATATTGACCTGGAAGGTCAAGTGCAGGTCAATATAACGTAGTATTTCTTCTAACATTGTTGGATCTCAGCCAATCAGAGAGATGGGAATTATTCAATCATATACATGTACCCGGTTAATAAAATAATTTATGGCCTTCCTGGGCACAATACTTAATCCTCTAAAAGAGAATACAAAAAAATGTTCTTTATAGATCTGATGCATAATACAAAAGTCTTTGACATAAGTTCATAATGTTTTGCTTTGTTCACATATTCAAGAGTCACATATTGCACCAGCTATAACTTATCTGACAGCAGGCAATAGAAGAGTTCAATACATGACAGTGTTGATTAATCCTTTGTGCACTTTTATATACATAGATCTGTGCTGGTTTTTTTTATTGTATATTTTTGTGATATTTATTTTTGTTTGCTATACTAGAGATTATTTTGAGTTAATGTGTTTATTTGTATAAAATTAAGAAAATGTATTACAAGTTGAAGAAATCTTTCAACATTAATCACAATATTTGTAAAATGATCAATTCAAGTTTAGTACCATCACTGCACAAAAACTATCTTCTAAGAAAAATCTTGACCTAAACTTGCTCAAATGTAAGGTTTCATCTGTCCTACTTAAAAAATCTTGACAAGTTTCAATGTCATCAAAATTAACAAGCCTGATGATCTTAGATCAAGTTGGTTTTGTGATGTAATAACATTTTTGTCTTACTTTTTTTTGTAAAAAGCACACATTCTACCTGGATATGGAAAATACTTATATATATATATATATATATATATATATATATATATATATATATATATATATATATATATATATATATATATATATATATATATATATAAAGTCATCTGTCTCAATATATATAAGCTAAGACCTTGACACATATATATAGTGTGAGGTAAGTCCCAGCACACTTTCTATTTTAAGAGGTTTATTGATTTCTTAAGAAGTATTACACAACTGACCCTGAAAGACTTTTATAAGAGTAAATATATGATCAATCATTTTATTCCTGACAAAGTCAAAGTAAAATAGAAAATAAAAAAAAATTAATGTATTTTCACTCCCATTTTTTCTTAAAGGATAAGATGACAAATTGCTATATGAAGTCTTCACAGCTGCTACACAGAATTTTAGATCATGTCTTTTATATAGCACTTATTTAAGAAATAGTACAAAGAAAAAAGTATGTTAATAGACCCATAGGTCCTAAACTCATTAACATTCTTTTTTTTTTTTAAAAAAAAAAAACAAACTTTTTCTGAGGAAAATGCAATGATAAATATTTAATAGACAAATAGGAATATCTACAATATTTCTATGACATGCAGGACTGTCATATATATTGTAATAACAGTAACTTGATCTGAAGTGCCAGATGACGATGAGTTGACGGGGTACGGATCATATCATATCAAACGAGACACAAAGCATTGGGTTTGATACAATGATCCATGCCTGTCAACAAGAAGTGATCCAGCTCTTCAGATCAAGTTACTGTTATAATGGTATATAGCCCATAATTATTAGCTATATATACAGTCAAACCTCGTCATCTCAAACTCAAAGGGACCAAGGAAAAACTTTGAGATATCCGAGGATTCGAGATATCCAGGGTAAAATACTTAAAAAATAAGTGGTTGGGACTTCCAAATCACCTCGATATATCCCTGGTATTCGACATATCAGTGTTCAAGATACCGAAGTTCAATTGTAATAATTGATTTTTTGGGGAGGGGGATCAATTATAAAACATTAATCTGTTAAACAAAACATGTTTTCAAGGAACTCTTATTATGCAAGAAAAAAGTTGTACAAATTGTGTACTACGTCTTCAATTTCAGAGAATGGTGATATGGAGTAATCAACAGTAAAATTGAGTGATGCACAGTAGGGTATATAATATGAATATATGATCTCCCCTGCTTTGTGGTTTGATATAATTTTTATCCAATGATTTGTGTGTTTTCTATCCCTGAGCCTTGGAGGTATAGAAAACACACTGTCTAGTTGGATAAAAGTCGATATCCAACCACAAACCAGGGGAGATTCTTTTTTGTCATGTTTTATGTGGCTATCACATTTTACGCTGTTCTTATATATACATATATATATATATATATATATATATATATATATATAAATATATATATATATATATATATATATATATATATATATATATATATATATATATATATATATATATATATATATATAAATAATTCCACTTAAAACCATTGTGACATCACAATTGTTGATATAAAAACAATATCATATGACTGCAGATATCCACTGTTTAAATGGTAAATCTGTTAAAATAGTTTAATGAAATAAATTCTTTTCACTTTCCATGGTAACTTATTAACAGATGTAGCTATATGTGTATGTATTTCCCCTTTGGAGAAAAAAAAATTATTATCTTGGTTAAAGGTAAATGACCTTACATAAATATAGGGTATGTGATAAACTTACGTATATGTGTTAAATTCAGTATGGCCCCTGCAGCATTTCTCTTTACACGTAGATCTGCAGAACGCATTAGATGTAAAAGGGGCTTGACAGCATTACAAGACACAATGGAATGCTTATTAGCATCTGAAAAAAAGTAATTAGAATTCTTTATCAAGAATATTTTTAGAATCTACACACATACCCGGTAGCTTAATTAAAAATCAAAATAAAAAATGTGGGTCAATGTGCTTCTTTTGGCGCTACAGAGCATTTAGTTTGACATTTTTGCACTCTAAATATGTCTTACACATAAATCAATTTTTAAAGTTTTTCCTCCAATATTCTTTATTCAAATAAATTATGGGAACAATTGCAGTATTATTTCTTCTTGAACAGACACATTAAGATTTGTGACAACAGAAAAATTTTAGAATTTCTTCGCATGTCCAATTATTTGACCTTTTTGCACTCAAAAATATCATTTTTCAGGCATTAAAAATTTAACAAGCAATAAAATCATTTGAAAGTAATGACATTTTACTGAATTTAAGAAGAATGGTTAAAAGTATCTTATATTATCAGAAAAGAAAATTAAAAGTGGGGGTCTGAGATGTTAAATTTTAGACATTACTAAAATAGTGCTAATTAAATTTTAAGCTTAAATTAGGGCTATTTTTTTCAGGATTTTCACAATATATTTGCTATATTTATCAAATATGATGATAGAATTCATGATAGTTTATTTAATATATAATTTAGGACCAGCATAAAACACTGTTCATGGCACAGAATAACTCTGTGTACAGGCTGCATGGAAAAATAGGAATCCAAACTTAAATACTTTAAATACTTCGAAAGAGAAAAGATGATCATTTTCTTCTTAAAAAAACCTTCCGCCACAAAATATAGTTCCTCAATTTATGCTTTTGGTATGGAATTTAATCAAGGAGTTTTGCCTGAAATATGAATATAGTTTAATTGGCATTGTAGAATCCAAATTGATTGAAAGAACTAAACATAATGCAGAATTTTTGAAATATAGGTCAAGACAAAAATCTGCTCAAAAGCTCAGGAGCGAACCTCGTTAAGCAGACCATCCTCAATTTTTTCTTGAATTTTTAAATATGCAGCTATCAAATTAATTCCAAGTTCACCTTGCTTTTGCATTTCTCTTTTAATTTTCATTAGCTTAAGCATTTGCTTTAATAAGTCTGCAGAAAAATAGGACATTTTTTTTTATTTCTTCTATCTCTCTAGTAATTCATTATTTTACAAATGACTAATTCATACAACTAAAAAATCAGATCTTCTATCATGTCCATTTATCACATATCTTCTTAAACTCTATTTCCTTTGTCAAACAAAAATTGAAAAAGAAAATGAAAAAAAAAAATAAAGTAAAAGCAATTCATTTCCTGGTAAAACCTTTGAAGTCTGAACAATATGTTTTATCAACAAAAATGAAATATCCAGTGAGGCATATAATGAAATATCTCTAAGTTCATCTTCAATATCCTGATAGCATCTGATGGTACCTTTCAGATGGGATTCACTGGTGCAATTTGTTTACAATCATCAGAAATATAAATATGATATAGGGAACAAAGGGAATTGGATATTAATTTAAACTATAAAGTTTTTTTTTGTACCATTTCTTGTGACAGATGGGTCAATTCTGTGTTTAGAATCATTCAGGTGTTGTTTTGTGATTAAGAGCATACAGTCCAGATTCTTTTATTTTGGATTGTGCTGTTTGAATTCATTTATTATACAATATAAATATTATAATAAAAATAATGATAAAAAAGCAACTGTTGGTTGTGGAAGTTTGAGTACAACTTTCATTTGAGTACATCTGCACTTTGACAAGTGTACGAAAGTTTCAGTGGGACATATATGTATATGTATTAGCTAATAAAAATTTCACTAGTGATAACTTAGTGAACATTGATTGATTTGTTAGAAATACACATAAATGTATAATACTACAGTATTGAAATAATGTTCATTTATTTCACTAAATTGGTACTAAGAAATGATAAATTAATTCTAATAATATAATATTTACATCACACAGTCAGGTGAAAACCTTGTATCTGACAAGAAGAGCAACTCTTAGAGGTTGTAGCTATGGACAGGATGACTCTTACCAATGGTGGTCAGGGACAGGATGACTCTTACCAGTGGTAGATAAGGACAGGATGACTCTTATCAATTGTCGCTAAGGACATGGTGATTCTTACCAGTGGTGGCTGAGGACAGGGTGACTTTTACCAATTGTCGCTAAGGACACGGTGATTCTTACCAGTGGTGGCTAAGGACAGGGTGACTCTTACCAATTGTCGCTAAGGACAGGATGACCCTTACCAGTGGTGGCTAAGGACAGGGTGACTCTTACCAGTGGATGCTAGGGACAGGATGACTCTTACCAGTTGACTAGGGACAGGATGACTCTTACCAGTGGTGGCTAGGGAAAGGATGACTCTTACCAGTGGCAGACAGGAACAGGATGACTCTTACCAATTGTCACTAAGGACAGGATGACTCTTACCAGTTGTGGCAAGGACAGGATGACTCTTACCAGTGGCAGATAGGGACATGATGACTCTTACCAGTGGTAGATAGGGACGGGAAGACTCTTACCAGTAGTAGCTAGAGCAGTTATACAGCCACATGTATTACACTGGACTTCCACATTTCTGGAATGAAGCAGTTCTACCAAAGGATCCACTATTCCAAGTCTCATTAGAATCTCTTTGTTGGTTTCTAGAAATAGAACCCTGATAATGTCAATCTCTTTCATGTCAGAAATTAATACATTGAAAATGTCAGCTCTAACTGCAGGCGTTTCATGTAGTTTTTTTTCATTCAATGCACCATTTTAATCTGCATTTTTTTCCTTTAATATGCGTAAATTGTTCAACATATCATATGAAGCCTGAAGCATCCTTAAATGTTAGTGCAGAAGTAATAGCAAAAAGTCTTTAAAGCACAATGTCAACTAATGGCACTGTATAAAATTTGAAAATATTGTTATTTTCTCAATCAAGTCTGGACTTATAATAGGCCATCTTTAAAAAATTTGTTTACCCTCTCCAGGCTAAGGATAAAAGATCTGGGTGGGTAGGTACATGTAGGTGGGAATTTTTTTTCCCGAAGAAATTTTCAACATACTGAATTTTCAAAATCTATTAAAATTGAAGGTATTTATAAAATTAAAATTCTTGTTTATGGGATGAGAAAATTCCAGCAGGAATAAAAAATAATTGTTTCCTAAAGGCTTAAAAAAAATTTGAGTCAGGCCAATTTTAGCCAGTTGGTTTGGAAAGGGCAAACAATGTTTTACAGAAGGTCTTATGGATTGACATTTAGTGGGTTTTTTTTAAAATCTTTACAAGCAAGTAAGAGTTTAATAAGAATCCTTAGGGGGCTAAACTAAAGAATACTGTATGAGATGTATCAAATATTGAATTCAAAATTCACATTAAAACAAGTTGAATAATCTGATCCACCTTGCATGTATAAAAAACTAGCCAGCTGTCTATGATAAGGTCTCTAGTGATGTGCTACTGTGTGCATGTTGACCTCCATGTGACAATAATCATCATAAAATCTTACTACATCTCACATTCTTTATCAGTCCATCTCTCCCTACAGGCAAATCTTACTAAAGTTGATGTAGATGTGAGGAATAACGCAGATAAAACAAACAGGTCTTATTCAGAATCCAAAAAAATATTAAAAAAAAATATTCTCTAAATGCTGTACTATTGGTATATTTTTTCTCATGGATAATAAATGAGTAGGCACTGTACCATTTTTAGCCGGGCTCATTGCTCGAAGAGCAATGCTCGGCTTATGTTACGATGTTCAACCGGAAATGCTGCTTCCTCACCGCCAAATCAAATACATGTACGAGTAAGAATATAGTACGTATGCTCAACCACCTTTGAGGCAATACAAACACTAAATTAAACATATTAAACTTAACTAATAAAGAATTTCTCTAAACAAAACAAAACAAAACATTAATGGTAATATACTTTCTCCATTTTTCTTCGATTAATTATTTGTTAGAAATATGCGAAAGGTTTTCACCAGATCTCCTTGTCTGGGTCACATTCTATAAATAAAGGTTGTGTTACCAGGCTAACACTGATACGGGGAGCACGTGACCCCACGTACACCTTGGTGCAAAACTCCCCACTGAGGACTCATCTGTACATAAACGTTCGACCTTGCTGCATCATTGTTCATTTACTTATGTAAGTGGTATAAGACCCGAAACAATAAAAAATGTTAAATTCAAACTACGTTTTATTAATTTTTTTAAACATTTTATATTTATACTATATGCAATATATTTTTTTTTGTGTTACATATTCTTCCAGTGTCTGAACTCGTTGTTTATCTGTTATTACAATGTACATGTATGTTTCATGTAAAACGGTCTTTGTTCACTACTCTGTAAATGAGCCTGGCTCTCTGTACTTCTGTGTACTTTGATTTCCATTTATCATGTTTATTGACAGCCCAAAACTAATCCTTACACAACAGTTCACTGGCTATGCAGTACAGACACTCACAAAAAAATTGAATCCTTCAGTTACTTAAATATTTGATATGCTGCTCAATTAAAAAAAAAAATGATTTAAAACTCATGATCAAACTTAATAAAGGTGCACGCAATTATAAGCTTATATTACGAAACCTTTCTTTAATTGGTAATGGAGTCCAACAATATGACGGTCACATGCAACAGATGTGTCAAGGCCTATGTAAACCTTTTACACACACAGAGAGGTGATGACAATGATACCCAGGTGTTGCCAAACAAAGATTTACCTAGCAGGCTTTATGACTTTCCTTTGTTTCACTTCATTGTTTAAACTTTGGAACCATTAAATTGATGGTAGTACTACTGTGCTTATGATGCAGTATGCTTGCATTAATCTAGAAACCAATGTATTATCTGAAAACATTTGTGAAACATGTACTGTTATATATAAAAAATATACAGTCTGCAAAATAAATTCAGCTTCACAAATATATACCCAAACATAGATCAACGGTAAATGGAACAATGGAGTACTCCAAGTAATTCTACAATTCTATCAATTTCTTTGAAAAAAATAAATTAATACTATATTTTAATTATGCATGACCTTTTTTCTTTTGTTAATTAATATAGGAATGAAATTCTAATTAAAATATGAGTAAGTTTTACAATGAAGAATAATTCAGATCTGCCTCTGCATGCCTAACAAAAGCCAAGTTCTTGAACTGATCGCAATTCTTACATGCAGGGTTTACAGTGAAATTCATATGAAAGTCACATGAAGTATGGCCTTGTAATAAATACTCTATGCCAAAGGCTTTTTTTTTGTTGTTTAAAAACAGGTGAAATGAAATGCATCATGCTCATATATATCTTGTAAATATACATTCAATATCATCTTTAGAACTAATGTGATACTACATTATATATGAACATACGTTTTTAAAGTACCAGTAACATCGATCTTTAATTCATCTACAGTAATTCAGATAGTTTGAAAACATTGGAAACAATCCAAGGCATGTACTAATCATTTCAACCTGAATTTTAACAAAATTGGAGAACCCATAAATATTGGAAGTCTAATGCTTTAAAACATAAAGGTCATAAGAAAGTAGGGAGTTCTGGTGTTTATGCAAGAGGGGATTTAACTTGAAACTGTGATGGGAGAACCTCAATAAAAATTAATATTTTAAACACAAATTCCACTTCTTTACAAGCATATCCTCATTACATCCTAATATGTGTACATGCACCAGTGATCTTTTGTTTTGGAAATATAGTTTAACATATTATTGCACTGTTGGTGAAGAATACAGATATTAATTAATTTGAAGATATTTTGAGACAATGTTAAGGTCAAGATCTAGTAAAAGACTTTCGATTAACTTTTTGGTGATAGATCCATTATAATGTCATAATCAATTACAACTTTCTTTTTCTCGTACTTTACGGCTCTAATAGAATTATGTAGAAAATAAAACATTTTCAAGGAAGTGAAAAGTGACCCTGATACCTATATTTAATTTAATATTATTTTAAAGAAAAGACCAAGAACATACAAATTACCGTTTTCTGAGAGACTGTAGGCAATCTCGATACATTTCCTTTGTCTGATATGGAAAAAAACTCCCGTATTCATGACAGGTTTTCTGAATGAAAAAGACAGTTGAAGATATGATTTTTCGTCTTGTTTACCTACAAATTATGGCCCAAAACACCTTATTTGACCAAGCTAAAATTATAAAGCATCATTAAAGGAATTTATTTCTCAAATTTGAGAAATCTGTAGGCTCCTTTCATTTACTAGATCTTGACCTTAAGAGAAGACATGATCTTGAAATCATAATCAAATGAATGTTTACCTCTGCATTTATTTTCATGATAATTATTTTGCATATATAGTTTATTTTTGGGCATATTGGTCCCTGATTTTTAATTAATAGTGAAGGAAATTTACATAAATCTTCTTTAATTCTGCTTATGTTAGCTAGTCTATCAAAAGTTGATGAAATCTGCTTTGAGTTTCAAGTGAGTTGATTGTTCAAACAAACAAGATTCACATGCCCCTGACAGAAGTTACTCACTGAGATCAACTTTAAAGTGAGTTGATTTGATAAGCAAACAACCCCCCCACCCCCACCCCACCCCAACAGACAAAAGTTACTGAGATTGAGTTCTAAGAAAGTTGATTGGTCAAACAATGTAATAGTGAGACTCAACTGCCCCCCAACAGACAGAAGTTACTGAGATCAAGTTTGGAGTAAGTTGATTGGTCAAACAAACAAGACACACCGTTCTCTGACAGAGAGAAGTTACTGAGATCGAGTTTGAAATGAATTGACTGGAAAAACAAACAAGACTCACCTTCTCCCCAACAGAGAGAAGTTACTGACTGAGATCAAGTTTTGATTGAATTGATATGAAAAACAAACTATATTCACTTTCCCCCCAACAGACAGAAGTTACTGAGATTGAGTTTAGAGTGAGTTGATTGGACAAACTAACAACACTCACCTGCCCCTGACAAACAGAAGTTACTGAGATTGAGTTTGGAGTGAGTTGATTGGACAAACAAACAACACTCACCTGCCCCTGACAAACAGAAGTTACTGAGATTGAGTTTAGAGTGAGTTGATAGTACAGACGAACAAGACTCACCTGCCCCTGACAAACAGGAGTTACTGAGATTGAGTTTAGAGTGAGTTGACAGTACAAACAAACAAGACTCACCTGCCCCTGACAAACAGAAGTTAAGGAGATTGAGTTTAGAGAGAGTTGATTGGACAAACAAACCAGACTCACCTGCCCCTGACAAACAGAAGTTACTGACGGCGAGGGTGGAGGCCTTCTGGACCTGTGTGTCTGTGGAACGAAGGAGTTCTACCAAAGGTCGTCCCAAGGCCACTGTCAGCTCAGTCTTCACTAAAAAAGAAGTATTGTTAATTATTACAGGTTCATGCCTTAATTGTAGGTGATTAATTAAGTAAAGTATCAAAATCAAGAGACAGTTGTTTTGAAATTATCTTTACACACACAATTTTTTGTTTAAACAAAGTTAACTTACTTTTCATTTTAGATTAGTTAAAAGAATTTATGAAGACTGTATTTCTTTGTATAATCCATAATTTATTGAGAATATCAAAGATTTTGAGGTTATGCTCTAGGACACTTACACTTCTCGCTGATTTCCAGCATACACAATGCTGCAGACCTCTGAAGCTCTGCATTGTCCGAGTATGTCAGAATGCTCAAAGCTCGAATGTGTTCACTTGTTAAAACAGGTTCCGCCTTCTCATCTGAAAATACCCCCCATGGTATGACTACTTCTATCATTCATTCATGTTTATACAAAGTGTATCTGTGGGATTCAAAAACAATTGAAACACAAACAGTTGTGTACTTGATTAAAAATATTTTTGAGAGATTTTCCATTTCATTAAACAGAAGGTTAGTATACAGATTAGATTATAAGTAGTTGTTTTCTGAATTGAACATAAGGAGTTGGGAAAATAGATTATTCCCTGAGGTGTAGGGTGACTAATTTCAAATAACACATCACGTAAATATGGTTAGTCTTGTAGCTTAACCTTTACAAAATATCAAAGTATCTATCATTTCTAGATCCAAAAGTTAAAAAAAAAAAAATCAAAGAAAGACGGGCAGATAAAAAACAAACAAACAGCCCCCTAATACAATATATCCCTACTCCAGTGTGCCTGCCTAAAAATATATAAGCCCTCATCACACCAAACTAGCTCAAACTATGGTCTACAAAAATGATGCCAAATGAGTTCAAACAGTATACACAATATAGTAGAAGAGAACGTAGAAGCAACTTTGAGTACTTCACGCATGTGCTTGAACTGGCTTGGACAAGACTTTGAGCCTGTTTGTCCTGAATTTGTTCGGGGTGACAACATACTTCAAACAATATGGCCGTACTAAGAATGGGATTGTTGTACTAGACATACTTCAATCTTACTACGGATGTGTTAGAATGTGACAAGTATGACCTGGTCTTTTGTAGATTGACAGGGTCCATTTGCTCACGTTGGCAAACAGACCCAACTCCACCAAAGATCATCCTTAGTAAGTTCCAAAACAATTTACAACCTCTGAATGAGTTACAATGGTTCTAAGTAAGTTCTACACATATCTTAAGTACATATATAATCTATCATCCTCAAGCAGATCTTTCTAAGTCCAACCTACTAGGACAAGGGAACTGTTTCCTCTGTTCCATATTTGACTTGAGAAACTCACAAAACACATTTCTTTGTTACCTCAATATTTTCCACAGGACAAAGGATAGGCTTGCTGTTTTTAACATGTTAACTGTTGGTTTTATGCAAGTATTATAAGTTATAGACAACAGGTTCAGGAGGCTCTGTTTCTTGGCTCTGGTCTGCATGGTCTCCACAGGAGCCACAGCATGGCAATCTTAGTGTTGCTCTTTTCGCACAGGCATTTTTTCTCTTTGGAGGCATAATCAATGATAATGAATCCAGTAGTATGCATTTTCAAATGTTGAACAAAAAAAAAGAATGGCAAAAAATGGGCAGGGTTTTTATAGCCCCCGAGTCAAGAAGGCACTGCACACTCACTGCACAAGCATGTTCAAACACACTAAGAACACGAACTTTCTCTGTTCAGGATGGTTTCATAAAATTTTTTTAATATGTATGTCCATTTCATCTGTACCCCATGCACAGTCAAAACAGGAATGTATTGTACATTGTAGACATTGTCAAAACCTACACATTCAACCCCCAAGCAAAAGCCCTTTTATGATTTTATAGAATGAGTAGATTTGATTATGCACCAACCTGTGTCTCTATTCCAACAGATGTTTGAAAATGATACCTTATTTCTTTAATAACTCTCTAAAACCTCTAATAAGCATAGAAATTACAATTTTTTTCATATCAAATAATACTCAGTCATAATCCTCCTACCTCTCTCCAGATATAGAAGTAGATTTTGTACAGCCTGTTTTTCATTGTCCAATAGAATCATTCCATACTCGTCAGTCAGTACCCCATTTTTCTCTCTCTTGTAGCACCCACACGTGATACAGCACACACAGAAGTCAAGGATCTTCTGTAGGATTGAGAGCAGCTCCTCCCAGATATCTGGCTTGGAAGGTGGACGCTCGATCTTGATGTCAAACTTATGTTCAGTCCCTGTATGCTGAAAGAGAATTAATGAGGGTAAAATTAAAGTCTTAGGGGTGGTACGACACTCATCTGATTTCCTATCACCTTTTTTAGATTGTCATAATTTATGTTGATATCAAAGATATTTGTAGACTAAGTTCTCTGATTAAAAAAAAATTAATTTAAAACTACTGAAAGTATTTTACCATTTAACATTTTGATGACATCAAATCATCTCAATACTCTACAGTAGGTGAAAATGTACAAATCAGACTGATATAAACAGCTGGATTTGACCTTTATGGCTTATGTTAGCTTCGTATGATTTAATTCTGGTTATAATGTGGTATTTGATTGGGTATAAAATTTACTTTATATTGTATAAAATGGGTTGTCTTTATGTCACAATGACTTTTATCAAAAATGTATCGATCGGCCTGATCATGACGTTACTTTTAACTTTTGTTCAAATGTTAAGGGTATTCATCTCTTTTTTTCTTAAACTAAATGAATGAAAATTAAATTATAAGGAATGAATTTGATAGCTACCCAATTTATATGGTATAAACTGGGTTTGAAGAGTTTATGCTTTTTTATAAACCACTTCACAGTTTATAAAGCGTAAACTGCCCCAACCCAATTGGGTAGGTATTAAATTCACTCCTTAAATATATCCTTATGAAAATGAGATATACACTGTACACAATCAGTTTTACCATTATTACCAATTAAATTTCATCCAAGATATTCAAGATCAGTCTGCTCAATACCCCCCCCCCCCCCCTTCCCAACCCAAATAATAAAAAACATGATGTGTTTGTGAAACACTGATGCCCCTTTATGGCAGCTTATGGCAATGGCTAATGTTTCTGAAATGCAAGTCAAAATCCACAGTCTGACAAGGGGAAAAAATGTTGTTGTCCAAAGAAAGGACTTGTGTCAATGTATAAACCTGGTAAATATGAAAGCCCAACCCTTGCACCAACAATTCAAAAGTTATGGTCATGCAAGATCAATGTTTTCTAAAAGTGGTTCAAACTTCAAGGTCAAGGTCAAATGGTCAAATTTAATGGTATGCAGGGGGAAGACCTTGTCATAAGAAATACACATGCAAAATATAATAAATAGCCCTAGCACCAACTGTTTAACAGTTATGGCCAAGGTTAAAGTTTTTCAAAAGTAGGTCAAACTCTAAGGTCAAGATTAAAAGGTTAAAATTGTTGGTCACAAGGAATATATCTGTGAAATTTGAAAGCCCTAGTACTAACTGTTTAAAAGTTATGGCCAAGGTTAAAGTTTTTTGAAAGTGGGTCAAACTCTAAGGTCAAGTTAAAAAATATTTACACCCATGGAAAGATCTTGTTACGATAAAAACACATGTGAAATATGAAAGCCCTAGCACCAGTTGTTCAAAAGCTATGGCAAAGGTTAAAGTTTGGTAAAATTTGGCAAAACTGGGTCAATCTCCAAGGTCAAGGTCAAATATGATGGTACCCATAGAAAGGTCTTTTCACATTAAGAATACACATGTGAAATACAAAAGTCATAGCTTCAACCAATCAAAAGTTATGGGCAAGGTGAAAATTTCTGCAGACAAACAGACAGCTAGACAGACTGACGGACAGGGCAAAAACTATATACCCCTGAATCTTCAATATGGGGGCATAATAATAAATGATTGAAATACCAGTTGACCATCTACACATGATGATTTTTTATATGAAAGTTTACTCAATCAACAGGATGAATTAACTCTGATAATCATAATAATTTTACCATAATGTATTCCGTGAATAAGTCCCTTTGTTAAATCCACATCTCTATTCACTATCACATAGTCAGTCTTACTCCTTATAACACCAGCTTCTTGTAGCTATATAACACATAGTACATTTGGAATTTCTTACAACTATTAAGAAGTGCAATGCCCCAACTAAATTAAACTGTCTGACATAACCTCAGCTTTAAATACCCTTAACCCAAACAAATGAGATCAAAGCCTTGATATTAAGTGTACTGACAATAAAAACATTTGAATCTAATCTGACCAAGTCCCTGTAAGGTACTCTAGTATTCATGAAGACATTTTTAAAGCAACAAAATAATGTCATTAACCTTTCTAGCAACATCCTTGATTTTTATTGCAGATAATGCCATTTATGGTAATTTCATTTTTAATAGCTAGGGCATTATTATTTCTACATTAGTGACCTACAACTTTTTACTTTTAATCTGAATGGGTGAAATTATTTGGGTCAAAGTGAAAATATTAATTAATGTACCGGTATACACAATACAATAAAATATCGGGTCTAAGTGTTCTCAAAGTCAATTGCTTATTGTTGTTTTAACTTTAAGACTTAACCTGACAAATTTTTGTTAAACTGTTTGATTGGTTTAAAACATCTGGGAAATCGAGTATGCATGTGGCCAGCCTGCTTTTCCGCAATCTAAGCCAATTTTAGTTCAGCCCGTGTCTAACTTTTCTGAGACTATTTCACACTGCTTTATCATGATAGGTTTTAACTACATGCACAATTAAGTGTTTAAAACTCCTTTTTTGATACCTTCTTTCCACAATTTTTAAAATAGCCATAAGAAGCACTTGACAATCATAAAAGATACACACAAACATGTATAGAAAAGAATAGAGATATGTTTCTTACTGATGCAGCGTAAGAAAAGTATGCAAACCCATAATTTACAACTGATGTAAAAGAGTTGCTGAGGTAAGATTTTTACCTGGCTAACTGAAGAGGTGTAGCGGAAAAGCAAAAATATAATCGCAGAATAGCAGTATGATTTGTCAAAGTGAGCAAGATTTTATTTTGCAGAAAAGCAGTGTTGAATCATGGAAAAGTAAAACAGTGATGCATGCATGTACATCATGTACGTAAATTCTGACATTCAATTTTGAAAATAGACTTGTAGAAAATAGAATGACTTGTAAACAGTATATCATACATTTAATACATTTTTTTAAGTGATTAGTTTTAGAATCTGGTCACTCTCTCAGATTGAAAACATGAAACACAAAGTACAGTATCCAGAATAAAACTTAAGAGTTTGAATGATTACATTGGCAGATTCTTAGAGATTTGGAGGATGGGGAGGGGTTCAGAAAACAATCCAATATACCCTCCCCCTATGGGCCTCCCTCCCCCCCCCCCCCCCCCCACTTAAATAAAGTCTATAGACCTGCTTCCGAAATCTTATAGGAAAAGATCCACACATATAATTACATTTGGGAATAAACTTGTCCCAAATATTTAAACTGGTTATTGATTGAGAAAGACTTATCTCATCTTTGCTAGCCAAGGGTTTCTGATCTGCTACTCTCCTCATAAACCCTTGGCTATGGTGCTGTCAAAATTTTTTTCTTGAGTTATGATTGGAGTTGATTGATATACCAGTAGTTTGATCGATCAGCAATTGCATTTTTTTAAATGACGATATCTGCGTTTGGGATATATCTTGACTCTTTATTATAGTCTTGGGGATGAAAAACACAAGTAAACAACGATGCGTAAGATAACATGCCATTCTATAAATAGCTGTGGTGTCATCCAATCTTAAGTTGATGTGCAAATAATGTGATCAGTAATCTTTATTACAGATGTAAATTTGCACCCTTAATAACAAATAAACATCGATATCTTTTTGTTAATTATTCTCTAAAAACTTTCATTTTTAAACTCGCTTTTTATTTCTGTGATGACGCTATCCAAGATTCGAGATCATGTGACATAAACAATCCCAACTTTTCACAGCACCATAGGCCAAGGGTTTGTGAGAAGAAACCCTCAATTGGCTAGCGAAGATGAACTGATCTTGAAATAAACGTTTTCACAGTAACAGAGGCCTGACTGCCTGGTGATCTATACATACAGACCTATCATCCATGGAAGTTGGACCTGAAAATTTGCATACCCACTGCAAAATGTCCTATACCAAAAAAATTTATCTAGCTGAGATGTGAGTAGGCACAATATATTCACTTCAAAGCAGTCCTAAGGGAGGAACTTTTTAATTGCATGCATGGTGACATTTTAATATGAAGCTGAAGCATGCCTGCACCCACATCAAGTATATATTTACAAAACAGACTGTCACAAATGAATTGTATTAAATACTACAGCTTTATGATTTAATCATATCTTTTTTTCACAGGGGTGCTCCACATTTAAAGTGAAAAATAAAAAAAAACATATTTTATTTATAATATTTTACTAGTATAAAACAAAAAATATATATATATAAATATATTACCAAAATTAATAACCAAGTAAATTTGAACACTGAACAGGTATATTCTCATCTCCATTATTACATAAATAAAAAAAAAAAATGCATGAGGCCAAAATAAAAAATACCTTTGTTTTCCCTAATGCTACCGACCCAATTAAATTGCACCGACTGAAAAGATTTTTTAAATAAGATGATTCAAATTTTTTTTTTAATGTTTACCAACTTTTAAAAAATACAATTTCATCAAAATCAGTTTTTATCAGAACAGCCCACATTGTTCTACTGTGATTTTCAAGCGTTTGTTGGAAACAAAATAGCACCCAGATGTGGTCACAGAGGGTTAGTTTGTCATAAAACAATGGCAATGTATCAACCTTTTGCCTTTAGCTTATTAGAATCCTACACTCTTGAAACATTTACCATGACTAATTAAGGGTGTTTCGGTGGTATTAACAAACCTGTCTTTTAAAATTAAGGTACGTAATACATATGGTAAGGCCCTCATGAGCAGATAAGGGGCCCACTTTGTGAACACATCATTCAATTTCACTGCATTTTACTTAATTTGAGTTTTGATGAGTTCATCTATGTTCCTTTGTTTACCATATGCCATTATGGGACCATAGGACTTGTTGTAAATATGTCTTCATATTTCATCCTGATGAATATAATTCAGACGTCCTTTCTTCATGCCTTTTATTCATGGGTTTAACTTTGTGACTATGACATTGTGTATGGCATTTTATCATTTTTAGATACCGTCTGGTTCAATTAAATATTGTTTATATACTCTTTCCAAATAGTTTTGAAATCATGATATAGCTTCCTGAGACGTCCAGTATATTTTTCCTCTTTAATTAAGCCCTTGAAGATTGGTTGTTTCTTTGCTTTAAATCCCTTTGAGATTTGTTGGGATGACGACATTTGAACATTTCCCCGGTGGAGGGCTCCAAATTAAGACGTACTCGGCACTTATGGCCATTAAGCAGTGAGGATCTTTTTTGCATGCATGTGCCAGCATCTACTGCGACACAGGACCTAAGTTTTTACGGTTTCATTTGAAGGACCATTCTCAACGACCCTCATTGGGATTTGAACCTGCGACTTAAAATTAGCCCCTTACTTCGGGACTCCAAAATGAAATGCTCTAGAACCACACTGCACAACTCATGGCCCCGCTAAAAAGTACATTGCTTGTGTAAGCACTGGAAGCTGATAGTAGGACTAGGTTTGAAAAAAAATATACTCAGATGTCCGGTCCTTGCGTATTTGAGAATCTTGTCTTTTTTTATTCGATTTACATAAATTTACACTGGCATGAGATATTTCACAGGTTCAACTGAATAACAGATATGAATTAATTTAAACGGCATTTATATGACATTCTGTTTACAAATCCTTTTCTTTCGTACTCTTCTTAATTATAAAGGTATTATTCCATTGAATTTCAGAATGTATTTTCAAAGCTGCTGTTAGAAAAAAAAGTTATTTACCTACCTACCTACCCAACTTAAGAATTTAGGGTCGGGTTAGAGGAAAAAAAAATTTTAATGATGGCCTGAGTTGTTGAAGCATTGGCCTGGCAATACACAAAGATATGCATATGAAACTGCATGTACTTAAACAAAGAGAAACTGATCATGCTGTGGTGTTGCTGTTCATCATGTTCATTGCAATGCATTGTGCTTTTAAAGGACAATATTATAAATATTTTCTTTGTGCAAAATATACATTTAAATTAAAAAAAATCAAAAAGATATGTTTATGACTTAAATGTCTTACCTCTGGGCTTTTACGCTGAGGATCCATGACAAAAGGTTAGCAGGTTAGACGATGTTAGAGGGACATGATCATGGCCAGCTGTTGGTCAGATGTAGTCGATGGTCATCTGCTGGTTCCTACGTCACGAGTACGTACAAAATACAGTCCCTTACTGTCCAAGATTACTACGACTTAACTGTTTTAATCTCTGTTCTAAGCATTGTAGTGACAGTCGAGAGCGTCTGCAATTTTGATTGTGAAACGCTTTGTGTCAAAACATAATCAATATACAAGCATTGAACCATGCGTGTAATATCAAACCCGATCCAATATTTATCCTGTCAAAAGCATATTCATATAGATAAAAAATGATATTTTTGAAAGCACATTTAATTATATATGTATACATATTGAAGCTTTGTCTATAATTTTAATGTCAAGACTTTTTTCTTCCTAATTAATACAAATTTAAAATCCGGAGATCTTTCATTTGTTCTTAGTTGTTTAGGTGTTAGTTACGTTGTGGAATTTCCTTTGTTTTGTTTGCTCTTCTTCACAGTTCACTGACTTCAAGTTCAGTATGCATGATGTGACTCATGTGAGTATCTTTTAAACCTCTTTTCTTTTTTTTTAAAATGACGTAAAAACAAGTGGCCAATCATCTTATACACGATTTTAACTATATTTGAGTTCACCGCCCGGGGAGTACAATGTTCCACAGGTACTTGGTACATGGGTCTTGGTGAAGTTGGTTTATATTAACCAGCTGTTAACAGATCCAGTCCAAAGACTATTTCTACCTACGTACACATGTAGCTATTGATAGCTACCTAGGTATTTAAATCTACCCAAAGTAGCTATTTTTACCTACTTTTTGCTATTACTTGCATTTTGTGGCCAAACGGCGCACATGGTGAGTACCAAATTTGATACTTGATACAGTCACACTGATGATGAATACGCCAAAAAAATGATTACTTCGTAAATGAACTTTTTGAATTTATTTCTAAACAAAATTGTTTGGTAACCACCATTTTGCGCCATTTGGCCACAAAATGCAAGTAATTCAAAAAGTAGGTAAAAATAGCTACTTTGACTAGGTTTAAATACCTAGGTAGCTATTAATAGCTATGTAGGTAGAAATAGTCTTTGGACTGGACCTGTATAAAGCATATGAAAAGTATACAGGCTCTGTAATGGCATCAGCTCCACTCGCTTGTTTACATGGCTTGTTCTTTGAAAATAACACTGCACTTCACGCACCGGACGTCTCGGAACATTGATTACTTATTGTAAGAACCCTCACATCTTGAAGATAATTCCTAATATTTTAATTTTTAACATTTTTTCAAACTTTTCTTTAACATGCCCATAAACATGATAAACAAGTGCAAATTGTAAAATCCGATTAAAAACAACAAGTTCCAGTCATTTACACAGTTCTAAATCCTAGAGGCATTCCGGGAAATTTATATATAACTTGAAGTATCTCAGAACCACATGCTTTGGCTACTTTATAAGTCTATGCACAAGAATTGAAAGCATTTTTTTAAAATTAAAATAAACATAACCAGTTGTATCTATTTGGAATTTCTTTATCTATTTTTGGTGCAGTATATATATATATATATATATATATATATATATATATATATATATATATATATATATGTTGTGTTCACCTGAAGTCAGGTGCAAGGTAAAGTAACTTTATAATGATAAATCAATTGTATAAATTTAGAAGTTTTTTTTTTAGATTATATATTTTTGGTCCAGTTTAGAAAAAAAAATTAATGTTTACCTGGAAGGTGGGTTGTAGGTGAACATTACTTTTCATAGTTTATTTTATCAATTTGGAAGTTCTTGCTCTATTATTAGTTCAATGTAGGAAAAAAATGTTACGTTCACCCAGAGGGTCTTCTGCAGGTAAACAAAACTACATGAGTATGATTTCTACAATCTTAGATCTCAGTCAGTCATAGAGCTAGGAATTATTCTATAAGTATCATATGGTCATTAAATAACATGTAAACTAAAAATTACACCTTAATTAATTTGCACACATCAACATGATTAAATCTTTTTATTGCCATGATGTCAGAAAACATATATAATATTGTTTTGGATGTATCCTCTTTATATGTTTTTACAAAAGTAGAAAAAGTTATTGAATGTATTTTAAATAGTAAATTACATTTATAAGGGAAATAAAATTTTTTGGTTGTTGTTATGTATTACATCATGTACTCAGTGAGTAGATTCTAGAGTAAACCAAATTAAAATTTGCCCTTTCATTTAGCTCTTAGTTCATTGAAATGTCCATCACTAAAGGATCTAACGCAACCAGACTCAGGTCACGTTGAATTATAACTCATCAAAGTAAAGTCACATACCAAAAATCAGCTCAATATCTGCAAGTGTTTAGAAAAAAAATTGCGGAAAACCCTTAAAAATTTAAATTGAAGAGGTCGTAATTCCGTCAAAAATCAATGAAGCAGAACGAAATGCAAACTTGATCTGTAACTCATCGAGATACACTCACATACCAAAAATCAGCTCAATATCTGCAACCATTTAGGCAAAAAGTGTGGAAAACCAAGTGGGACAGACTGACAGACAGAGAGAGGGACAGCTAGACAGACGGACGGACAGACTCAGAGGAAACCTATAGTCCCCTCTGGTTTCACCGGTAGGGGACTATTTAGATTGTTTCTAGAGTCATACACCCAAGAAAATTAATCCTTACAGACAATGGAAATGATTATATTAGGAGTTATCTTTCGTAGTTTTCATAACTGAAGAAGTTAAACATAAATACATCTCTCCTGCCTTTGCATGTATGTATAAGCACTTTTTGCACCCTTATATGTGCATAGAATAATTATCTTTATTAGTCCCCTACCGGTGAAACCGGAGGGGACTATAGGTTTTCTTATTTATAAACACTTAACAGTTCCCAGTGTTTTCCCTTTATTTCAAAGTAAAGTGATAGAGAACAATAAAATTTAACAGACTTTGGGTTGATGTTTATGAACAAATCTCTGTGGGCACTTCAACAATTAAATGTTGAATTTTTTAATTCAGAATGGTATTTTTATCAATGTAAGTGGTCAATTTGGCCAGTAGCTGGTTCTTAGGGAACACTCTAAGTTCCAATGTATAAATGAATTAGATCTTTTCTCCACTTTCCAGTTTGTCTTGTTGTGATTCTTGTGACATAACAAAGACAGGGAACAGATCAAAGATCCTCTATCTATTAAACTGACCAGACGAGTACTTTCTAAACTCTTTATGTATTATTTGTGGAAATCAAAACTAAATTTAATTTAGATACCTGTATCTCAATATTAAGCGAGTGAGAATGAATAGTGCATAATGAATAATATACTTATATATTGTATATTAGTATATGTACATACAAATATCTTACAACCATTTAAAGAATGAAATCTTTATCCTGCCTGTTTTATATAATGTAACTGTTATATGAAATAAGTGCTCTTGTGCTCCCCCATTCCCCACCCCCCCACCCCTCAAAAAGGGAAAAGTTTAATATTATCAGTCAATCTAATTAAAATTAGATCTTCCATTCGCTCCCCGATTTTTTATATGTTCCTCGCTACATATAAAAAATCGGGGAGCGAATGGAAGATCTAATTTTAATTAGATTGATTATCAGTTTACATGTAATGTGTATTTTCAAGTGTGTTGATTTCTCTTCTGGCCCTGGAATCATGAAACAGACAAAGATTGAATTCGAAATTTCATTCGTTTTTTTGTTGCTTGTTAATTATCACAGTGAACTAGGGCTGCATGCATGGGAATCGGCTGGGAATTTGGTATTGCAATATATTGTGATATTTTTAGCTGTATTGCGATATGTATTGCAATATTTTCAATGACAGTTAAAATGCTCTTTTTCTTATTTTATTAACCTTCAACTATAAGAAGAGCGTGTAAATTAAACTATTATAAATTATTTATTCATTGTGACAAAAAAAAATTTTGTTGATTCACTACAGTTTTGGAACGAAATGCAACCATACAACAGCAACATTTCGTTTGGTACTCTTTGGCACAATTGAAAACGTTTCTAACCTATTAAATTTCAAATTTTACTTAAGAAATCTAAAACCCAAGCAGTTTGTCGGTATCAGTACTGGAAAAACATATCGCGATACGATATTTTTAGCTCACCTCGACGAAGTCGAGATGAGCTTATGCTATACCCCCGGCGTTGGCGTCGGCGTTAGCGTCGGCGTCCCGGTTAAAGTTTTAGGAGCAAGTCCCATTCCCAAGTTACTATAAGCCCTACCTGGACCAAACTTGCATGGATGATGCATCTAGAATGGACACTGCCACACTTGCTTCGGATGCTGGATCTGACCTAGATTTTCCAGATGAGTGACCAGGTTAAAGTTTTTGGAGCAGGTCCATTCCCAAGGAACTATACGCCCCACCTGAACCAAACTTGTATGGATGATGCATCTAGGGATGGACACTACCACACTTGCTTCGGATGCTGGATCTGACCTAGATTTTCCAGATGAGTGACCAGGTTAAAGTTTTTGGAGCAGATCCATTCCCAAGTAACTATAAGCCCTACCTGGACCAAACTTGCATGGATGATGCATCTAGGGATGGACACTACCACACTTGCTTCGGATGCTGGATCTGACCTAGATTTTCCAGATGAGTGACCAGGTTAAAGTTTTTGGAGCAGGTCCATTCCCAAGTAATTATACACCCTACCTGGACCAAACTTGCATGGATGATGCATCTAGGGATGGACACTACCACACTTGCTTCGGATGCTGGATCTGACCTAGATTTTCCAGATGAGTGACCAGGTTAAAGTTTTTGGAGCAGGTCCATTCCCAAGTAATTATACGCCCTACCTGGACCAAACTTGCATGGATGATGCATCTAGGGATGAACACTACACACTTGCTTCGGATGCTGAATCTGACCTAGATTTTCCAGATGAGTGACCAGGTTAAAGTTTTTGGAGCAGATCCTTTCCCAAGTAACTATAAGCCCTACCTGGACCAAACTTGCATGGATGATGCATCTAGGGATGGACACTACCACACTTGCTTCGGATGCTGAATCTAATCTAGATTTTCCAGATGAGTGACCAGGTTAAAGTTTTTGGAGCAGGTCCATTCCCAAGTAACTATAGGCCCTACCTGAACCAAATTTGCATGGATGATGCATCTAGGGATGGACACTACCACACTTGCTTCGGATGCTGAAT